CAATAAGCCCTATCACCAGGCTTAATAACCTCAAGCCTCAAACGTCTCATGTCTTCCACAAAACAACTCTTAATACACAAAGCAGCTACATCTCCAATTGAGACCTTCCTACTCAAGGCATCTGCCACCACATTTCCTTCCCCAGATGATACAAAATATTCACATCAAAATCTTTTAACAACTCAAGCCATCTTCTTTGCCTCAAATTTAGTTTCTTCTGTGTGAAAATATACTTCAAACTCTTATGATCAGTGTAAATCTCACATGACTCTCCATACAAATAATACCGCCAGATCTTAAGAGCAAAAATCACTACTGCTAACTCCAAGTCGTGCATAGGATAGTTTCTCTCATGTATTTTCAACTGTCATGACGCATAAGCAATCACCTTCCCATGGTGCATGAGCACACAACCTAAACCCTGTCGTGAAGCATCACTATAAATCACAAAACCACCTCCATCTGTGGGTAAGGCAAGGATTGGAGTTGATGTCAATCCCTATTTAAACTCTTGGAAGCTACGTTCACAATCATCATTCCACTTAAACTTTATCCCTTTCCTGGTGAGATTTATAAATGGCAAAGCAATACGGGAGAATCCTTCCACAAACCGTTTGTAATACCCATCAAGCCCTAGAAAACTGCAAACCTCTATCATCTAAGTAGGTCGTGGCCAATCAACAATTAATGCCACCTTCGTGCTATCCACAAATACCCCATCTTTACTCACCACATGACCTAAAAAGCATCCACTACTCAACCAGAATTCACACTTCTTAAATTTTGCATACAGTCTCTTCTCCCTAAGGGTCTGCAGTACTACCCTCAAATGCTGCTCATGCTCCTCCTTACTCCTCAAATAAATTAGGATGTCATCAATAAACACTACCACAAATTTATCCAGCTGGGGTTTAAATACTCTGTTCATCAAATCCATGAATGCAGCTGGTGCATTTGTGAGACCAAAAGGCAACACCAAGAACTCATAATGCCCATAACAGGTTCTAAAAGCGGTCTTAGGAACATCCTCATCCCTTACTTTCAACTGGTGATAGCCTGACCTCAAGTCCATCTTAGAGAATATCTAAGCTCCCTGCAATTGGTCAAATAGGTCATCAATACGTGGCAAAGGATACATATTCTTCACTGTGACTTTGTTCGATTCTCTATAATCAATACACAATCTCATAGACCCATCCTTCTTCTTCACAAACAACACAAGTGCTCTCCAAGGTGAGACACTAGGCCTAATAAAACCTTTATCTAGCAACTCTTGTAACTAAGTTTGTAACTCCCTCAACTCTAACGGTGCCATTCTATAGGGTGCTTTAGAGATAGGTGTTGTATTAGGGATCAAATCAATGGAAAATTCGACCTCACGGTCTGGAGGAAGACTAGGTAGATCCTCTGGAAAAACATCAATACATTCACTCACTACCGGCAACTCCTCTAACTTCTATTCTGGCAGTTTGATACTCACCACACAAGCTAAATAACCATAACACCCTTTTCTCAACATTCGATTAGCCTGAAGGGAAGAAATAAAACAGATAAAAGACACTTTCCTATCTGCCTGAAAGAAAAACTCAAGTTGTCCTAGCATAGCAAAAACTACCCCCATTCTAAAACAATCAATAGAAGCATGATGCTTCGTCAACAAATCCATCTCCAAAATCACATTAAAATCCTTCATCTCTAAAGAAATCAAATCCACTGGAAAAATCCTACAATCCAAGTCAACTTCACAAGATCTACAGACATCTCCCAATACTAGTGTTTCTCCTAATGGAGTAGACACGGTAATACAAACATAAAAAGGCTCACAAGGAATAGGCAATCCTAAAAGATATCTAGGTACTAACTCTTAACCTTGAAAATTCAATCAAGAAAGATTCAACACAAGTTTAAACAAAACTAACTAAACCAAACACTACTAAGGACAATAGGGACTCGGACCTCGTCTAAATAATGAAATGCAAGATATGCAACTCGATAAACTATAGCTCTGATACCACAATTGTCACACCCCAAATCCGGGCTTGACTGGCCGTGGCCCACAGGGACTTAGCCCAAGGCACACGTAAGCCTAAACATGAACCCAAAACCACAAAGAATAAATGTGATGATAGCCCAAAAATAAATATATCAAAGCTCAATCCAGTGACATGTCACAATTGAAAAACAAGTCATAACCAACTTCCTAAAAATATATATATACTAAATGGGACACAAACCGCCCACAAAATAAAATAATTCTAAATAAAACTCAACCACAATGTATGCACAAAACTCGACAAGCAACCTAAAACAAATTAAATAAATGCCCTAGAGGTCCATGAAATTGAGTCCCCACTGCACCATGAGTCCACTCTAAGTCCTTCTAACACCTGGAAATGGTAAACAACTAAGTTAGCTGATGGCTTAGTGAGTAGCAACATGGATAGTAAATACAGTTTTGAAAATAGGGTTCAATTCCAAAATAAGATATATATCACAGAAACTAGATTGTCATACAGTTTGGTAAATACAATCTGTTTCAAAAAGAAGATTCCACAGTTCAACACTTAAAATACTCATGTCTCGCATGAACATGATAAACGACATTTTCCACTTAAAACAGATTATAACATGAACACCAATAACTTTCTGGATACCAAGAAAAACAAATAATATGCCACACAGTTCTCAAGGCTATAAGCCCCGTTGGATCCAATACCGAACTAAGAGTCATCCTCAGGGTGGCACCTGGGCCTTTTCTCAAAGACGATCCGATTGAAGGTCACCTAGCATTTTTTAAAGGTCTTTTCCTTACAATCGTTGAGCACTAGAGTCATCACGGCCCAACCCGGATTTGTTCCCTAGTGGCCAGAGTCACCACACACAGTGGAATAATTTCCCTGGACTAAATACACATATGGTCCCAATAATCAATACACATCAGTTTCGCAAAACATGGTAGTTCATCATTATAAACATGAGACCAAAACAAATAGTTTACAGTATGCCAAGTTCACACATGTTTCAGAAATAATTTGATTCCATTGATAATATAATAATTTATTAAAACAGTTTAGTCTTAAAATAACAATTTAATTTTTCAACAGTTCAGGGTAGGGGAACATTTATAAAAATACGTAGCATGAAACTACTCACCTGAAACCGAAATAATATAATCCTCGAATAGAGTATAAAAGTCCAACTAGTGCCCTGAACCAAGTATAAAAACTACACGTCACAACTAATTTAAAAATACTAAAAAGTAGGAACTAAGTAACCTCAACTAAAGCGCACTAACACGGCTCAACCCAACTCACCGTTACTCTTAAATATTACCTAAGTTCATGTTCTTCAAGGTTTAAAATCACCCAAGACATGGGTTCCGGTCAAAACATAATTAATTGTGACTTTAAGATAAAACAGAATTTCAAACAAGCCTTCCCAACCTATTCGCTAACTTTGAAAATTACAAAAGTCACTCCACGCTATTCGAAAAATTCCAATAACCTCCAGATATGATCTAATATATCCTAAGTTTCAAGCCCAATTGGTTTCACTTGATTTGCTTATCAAAATAATTATCTACAATTTGTTATATCACTACAAGAATTAACACTTTTGCCGACCAAAAAATTGGTCGCTAAAAGCCCATTTTTGGTCGGCAAAAGTTATCCGCGACCAATTTTTTTGGTCGCTACTTTGGTCGCCAATTGAGGGTCGGCAAAAGTAATTCACGACCAAAATTTTGGTTGGTCGGGAAAAGTCGGATTTGCCGACCAAATTTTTGGTCGCGAAATATGTCATTACCGCTACTAATTCATTTAGTCGCAAAAACACTTTGGCCGCGAAAATTGAAATTTTCCCGACCAAAAAGTTTGGTCGCCAATTATCACATTCAACGACCAAAAAGTTTTGGTCGCCAATTGTGAGATTCCGCGACCAAAAATTTTGGTTGCCAATCATGACATTCCGCGACCAAAAAATTTTGGTCGCCAATCGTGGCATTCCGCGACCAAAAAGTTTGGTCGCCAATTGTGACATTCCACAACCAAAAAAGGTTTTGGTCGCCATTTGTTAGTTTTCGCAACCAAAACTTTTGGTCGGCAAAAGTGAGTTTCCATGACGAAGAGCTATTTTGGTCGGCAATAGATGTATTTTTTGCGACCAAAACTCTTGGTCGGCAATTGTCATTTTTTGCGAAAAAAAATTATTTATCTGTCGCGACTAATAAATTGGTCGCCAAAGCAGGAAAAGAATACACCTGTAATTCCTAATAATTCATTCAATCCATAATAAACCTATAATTTTAAAGCATCATTCAAATTAACTGAATCATTAACATTCGACACAACACATAATTCATTAACATTCGACACAATACAACTCTAAATTGAAGCATTAACATTCAAACACATTCATTAACAACACAACACAATACAACGTCAGGGCGAGCAAAACTACTTGATCCTCTGCGGGCTGTAGCTTCAGATGAGTGAGAAGCATCATTACCTCCTAAAAGACAAGGCATGAACCCAAATGTTCAATTCACAGCACATCCTATTTGGTTTACTCAATCAAACAATGTCACAATACTCCAGTTTGAAAAGAAATAAAAATACTTCAGCTTTCTTCATGATCTAATAAGGGATTTGGGGGGCAAGGCTTTCATGGATTAATCAAATTATGTGAAAAACAATGTGCCATGAAATTCAAACACATCTTGCCCAGATTAATAAATAAATAAATAAATAAAAATTACGAAGGCAGGGGACAGAGCTACTGTAAATTGAAGCATTCCAGGTACTTGTCATCACCACGTATTGACAATAGTATATCTGTGCTGCTTTGTTTAGCTCAAAACTAGTTACCAGAAGGTCAATTTAGGTTTATATACAGGTATTACAGTGAGCTAGTTTAAATCTGTACTGCTCGGCTTCAATGCTTATGTGTCTCAGACTTGCTAAAAATAAAAATTGAAAAAGAAGGAAAAAGTGTGTAACATACTCATTTAAATCTTGGATAGTTTTGACGATGATGCTGTACATGAACCAGTGTCTTGACTCTCAGCAATGCAAGACGCTGTAATGCCAATTACACAATAGCAATGAATCAATACGAATTTCAATTACTAATACTAATGTCATGAAACTTCTATCGTTTCACTCCCTAATGCATCAGATATTCATCTGCTCCCTCTCTTCAACGATATGCTCACATAAACCACGCACACCCCAAAACCAGACCTTCAATATATGAACTTAATGGAAATAAGGATGCCTAATACCAAAGGACAAAAAGTTCTCAGGTTATGCACTGGAGGAGATGACAGGTCAAAAGATTGTATGCAGAAAAAGAAAACCAAATAATTCCATAGCCCCTCCATGAAACTTCATGTTCCAAGTACAAGTTTAGGTACCCCATGCTAAAGATTTTCATATTTTATGCCTAGACATTTCCAATTTTGGGTGGATTTCTGTGCTGTCACATTTGTGTGCATTTAAATTTTCAAGTAGTTCTAACTTATTTTTATTAGCTTGATTTGAAGATCACCTTAAATTCAACATACAAATGTAGTAGATGGGCTAAATTTCATATGGTTTATCAATAACGCAATGTACAAACTACTAAGCATTATAGTGAGAACAAGGTTGATACCATCTTTAGAGCTGTCAGGTAACTCCTTGCAAGATTGCTTCCCCAAATGACATTTCTGCAAAAATGAGACACCAAATACTATGCATGTGAATACATTAAAGATTGTTATCTATAGAGTCAGCAAATGAGCAAAGCTAGTAACAAATTAACAGAATGAAACTGAAAAAGAACAATTCAAATTGGTATTCAAATGTACAACCAACAAAAAAATAAAGGCACAAAAAACCACAAAGCAAGAAGACGATAATTTTAAATACCAATAACAAATTGGACTCCTAATGGCCTGCAACTTGACATTTATCAGGAATATCAGCAGCTCTTGAATGAGGTGATATGACTCCCAAAAAACTCCAAAAATATTTCCAAATGCATCATTTTTCTGGCCCCTTTTATCATAATTTTTTTTTTCTAATTTTAATAAACTAAATAATCAATAATACAGGATCCTACCCATTTTCTAGGCTAATCAAGACAGGAAAGAAACTTGAGCATCCGAGCCCCGAAACATCAAGGTTGGGAGAACACCCAGGTACCACTTGGCCTATAAGGCCAATGGTGAGAATATTTTTTGTTGTAAATGTGAAGCAAAACCAACCATATATAAATTTCCCTTTTCTCCTAATTCTGTTCTTATTTTTGTGATGTAATATTTGACATACATGCTTATTCAATGTTACAGAACAATTTTTATAAAAAAAAAAAGAAGACACTTACCACCTTATAAATATACCATATGATACCAAATATACATGCACCAAAGACTAGAAAATTGTCAACCATCAACTACGTAACATCACAAGCCACCATAAACTAGAAATTGTCAATCGTAGACCATATATTTTTTCTATTCACTTTTTATTTCATATATTTTTACCATTTTGCCATTGGTCCATTAGCTTTCCATCATGGTAATTGTAGGTTTCTCAAACCTTAGGGGTTTTTTGCCTAATTGCCAAACCATAGAGGAGGTAGGTGAAAGTCTCCTCTTTTTCTATCATAACACACTAATCACAATTGCTTCAAACCCAGACAAAAAACATGCAAGGCCAATTTTCACAATAGGTGTAATGAAAGAAGGTGTAATGAAAGTAAGATTGGACAGGGAGTACATACCTTCACAATAGGTGTAATGAACTCAACTAAGAAAGAAGGAATTTTTAGCAACGATGGCCAAAATGAATGAATAAAATTAATCAACAGCCCTTTAATATGTGATCCATCATGGTCCCGTGAATGCATAAAAATTGAAACTTTTAACCAAGTCATCAGCAAACAAACTAAAATGCATCCACACTCAGTAATGAATCAACATAGAGATAAAACCAAAAGAAAAAACAAAACAAGAAGTTAAATGTTTTAAACCTGATCAGTCATGATCCTCAAATGACCATATGTCAAAGTCTTCACACTGTCATACTGTTTTTCCATGCTGAAGTCCAAGAATCTGCTTGATGCTCTGAATTTCAGCGTTCTCCATGATTTGTTTATGGCTTGCTTCCCTCACATTAAGCAATTTTCCTCTCAACGGGAACACACCATAATAATAAGGTAACACAACAAAAATTCCTGCCATCCGTATATACTCAAATCAGTTAAAAACTCTAAAACAGAACCAAACTCAACTGAAACTACTTATACAAAACCAAACTCAACTGAAACTCTAAAATGAAATCCCATGTCCTTTGCATACTTGGAAAACAAAAAATGAAAATAGCTCAAGATAGATACAGTGTAAACACAGACCACAAATGAATGCTCAGTGTGTGGATCCCATGCTATAGTTTCAACATCTGCTGAAACTGACCACTTAAATCTTGTATGAGAAGGTATCCTTCCATCCTTCTGCAATCACATAAACATATATTTAATCAAAATAATGCTGACGCAAGGCAAATTAGCAAAGTGAATACACAAGCGCGCACAAAAAAAATAAATAAATAAATAAAGTAAAAAAAAAGAAGCAAAATGCAAGAAAACAATAATTTTGAAGTTTATAATTAATAAACAGACCCAATAAAACATTTCCATTACCATGACTACTGTATGATCAAAGGATCCACTAAGTAGAACTTGTGGCACATGATGATTCTTTGCGACAGCTTGAACCTGAAAATCAACTATAGCAAGGTCATAAAAATTATAAACAAATGAAGTTTTGCCACAGTAAAACGGACAACTTGAATTCTAAAAAACAGAACTGTTATCCTATAATTTGTGGCTACAGACACAAGTGTCGAAACAGATACAAGGTGTCAGACTGTGAACACCTTCGAATTCCAAAACATATTTGTCTACATTCTCAACAGAAAGAATAAGGTAAAGCGTTAAAAACTTAATCTTATTAAGAATGAAGGATGACATAACTTTTCTTTCAGTCACTCTTCAATTACAAATATTCTTCCCCATCCTAAGCTGCTTACAAATCCATCGCCATCCACATTCTTCACCACTATGCACAACTGTCAAGCCCCAAAAATACCCTCATCTCCAGCACTAGCACTGACCCACCACCAGAGACTTTAGATGTTCTTTTTATTTTATGTTATTCTTTTTATTAACAATACTCATTGCATAGTTTGTAATCTGGTTGGTAACATAATCAACATGAGTCCCACCCTTAATTGTCGCAATCGAATTTACAAAGTTGACCTGGAAAGTCATCAACCCATCAAAATTAAACATGAAGTTTCATCAATACAATGTACATTATATACATCCTATTTATAGAACTACATTCCAATTCGAACACCATCTGTACCTGCTGAAACTGCCCTTCGATAAGAATGACACATATCTCCAACCTGAATTTGATTAGTATTTTGATTAAAATTATGAGAAGTAAAATAAATCAATAAATATTGAAATGAAAACCTTGGGAGGGCATCTGGTCTGGCTTTGGAGGCAGATTGAAGGTAGAGATTAACATAGTCAAGAAAAGACTTTATTGGAATACGTTGCCCATTAAGCTCAACCTTCACAGTCTTTCCAAGGAATCCCGCCAAGTCAATCACCCGCTTTTTCATCAGGGCAAAAACATCATCTTCAAGACGAGTCATATTGAATTTTGCTAAGTCAGGCTTAAATGCAAAACTAGACCCAAAGACCAGCTCAACTGCTAATTCTTCAAAAACTAGATCAATTCAAAGATAAAGCAACCAAATAATAACATTATAAAGCTCTCAGTTGACTTAAGTTTAATATATATACAGTAAAATTACTATTTTATAGACGAAAACCAATTGCTAATTCCCATGCACCATTAAAATGCCTAATAAAAAATTTTAAAAAATTTACCTTCATTGGGGTAACATTATATGTAGATACACTAGTTATAGGGGTTGAACTTTGATTTTCAGCAGTGTAAAATGCGAGGGCACTTTCTCCTGGTTTAACGCTTACCTATAGATACAATCCCATAACATAACAGTTCAAACACCAGAAAGGATATATGTCCCCTGATACACATATATACACGCATACAAAATAAATATGTTATGTTTATATATAGGGTAAATTACAGTGATCTTTCGGAGGTTTAGAGAAAATAAAGCAAGTCTCACAGTTTTAATATAATTACATTAGGCTCCCTTAATATTTTAATTTGCATAACACTTAGCCCCCTTTTCATCAATTATTTGTTGGTGTGATTGATCGAAAAATGATATTGTCATCTCTTATACACTGAAATATATATTTTCTCTTATTTATTCTTGTGTTTCACACTATTTGTACTAGTTTCGATTAAGGGTACCTATTGGCTCTATGGCCTATCCAACCCACCGAACCCAACTCGATAATTTTAGGACTAGGGAAAAACTATTTAGCTCATAGGGGTACGGCGGGCTGATGTTTTGGTCCATTTAATTTTTGGGCTGGACTGGAGGTGAGGAGTTTTAGCCCAATCTGCCGAGTCCAACTCTGCCCAGCCCACCCCACCCATTTATAAAATATTAATTTTAATTTTATATTACTTAGTTACAAAATAAATTAGAAAAATAATAAAAGATAAGAAATATATATATACTTTTTTCTAAGGCTTAAATTAAAATATTCGTTAAATGACCATATTTATTTTGCAATTAAATTTTGTTAATGTTTCAAATTTAAATAATTATTAAAAGAGTCTAAATAATTTAATAACTTTCAAGAAAACATAAAAATAAAAAAATTAGTAGCTCAAGTCAAATGGTTTGTTAAGTGTACGGGCCTGGGATTTAGAAGTTCTTGTAGGGCCGAACTTCGGATGGCTAGATTAAGCCTAATGTCGAGTCGGATTGGGCTTGGGATGACACATATGCTCTTATTATATGGTGCAAGCCTGGCCCAGTGTTTGTCAATCCCTAGTTTCAATACCTTTAATCTTACTAAAAGGGAGGTTAATGCAATTATACCAAAACTATCGAGCTACTTGTATTTTCTCCAAACCTCAGGTGAGGTTAGTGTAATTTACTCATATATATAATATGTTATGCATATATATGACACATTATAAGCTAGATAACCTCGCGTTGAGTAGGAACAAACTTCCATTGCATTCCATTAGCCACATCAGCATTGAACTGCACCACAATCTCCCTCAAAACAAGAGATTGTGAACTTGTAACAAAGCATGCAAATGGGACAAATTTATCTCAATTGAAATTTTAGATCAAGATCTTCTCAGAAAATGTACCGGATGGTCACATAGGGACTTCAATTAACAGAATAGAAGGATGGGTAGTGCCGTGTTGTGTTAGACCACTTTCTTAGAAGTGCCCAATGAGTGTCGTGTTGTGTCAGACCACTTTCTTAGAAGTGTCTCTACTTCTTAGATTACATCGTAATCACCATTTACACGACAAACATTTTATCTAACTTTGGGTTGATCTTTAGCCTCTCCCAAAATGTGGAATCAAATTACAGATGAATTGTTATACAGTTCAACCATTACATGTTCAACCATTACATGAACTTTATCGTATAAATGCTACTAGATTAGTCATTCATCATTATTCTCTAATCAGCTAGAGTCACATACTTACTTGAGATAGATCTATTACGAATTGAATGGAATTCTAGATACAGATAAGGCCAAAGGAGAAGGAAAAATTTAAGTTGTACCTCAATCCATGCTGCCAGTTTTGGCCTGCCTGCTGTGATATCATAATTCTTCACATCCAACAAGAAAGGTTGAAATCTTTGAATAAAAGGAGCATAAGCTATATCCACCTGAAAGGTCGAATACATCCCTTGTCGATTAAAGGCATCACAGTATCTCAAAGAACAAACCATGAAGTTGTACCTCATCATACATTTCATAAGTAAAAGCCCAACATATCTTATTTTGCCGATCTACCTCTAAAAACTTGATGACAACAAGACTTGAGACTAGTATTTGATAAAACTCCAAGAAAAGACAAGTAGTTGAGAGAGGGAAAAAAAAAAGGGGGACAAACCAAATATAAGGTTTCCACTTACAATACTGAACTGGCCGAGTAAAAAGGGTCCATCGTCAAATTTGGAGGGTGCGGTTTCAATGTAATCAAATGAAGCATCTGTTGCAGAATACAACTATTGTTTACCTATGGTTATTTTCAATATTTAACTAACTTGAAATCAGTATGTGTTCAACTTACCAGCATCATTTATTCCATCTGCCTTGAATGAAGTAATCACTGCTTTATTGAATGAGTCTGTGTACGACAGTAACTCCTCTCCAAATTGTCTCTTGGCAGGATCCTGCATTCCCAGAGTATGAGCTCGATTTCACTGGATGGAAAAAGAATTAAAAAAATTGAATTTCAAAATATTACATTGGGGAAGAGGGAAGGGCCTTCAAAGTTACTGTCAATATATTTAACTAAATCAAGACTCTCTCCCTTGACTTCATTATTGTGTTCCAAAGATGGCACCTGCACAAATAACTAAGTTATAAATTCGTGAACAGAAAATGGTACATTGGCTGAAAGTGATATATCTATATATTATATAATGTGTACATGTTATTTGGTGTGAACATGAAAGTTCTGTCACGCTCTTTTGATTTTCCAAAAATGCCCCCAACAATTGATGAGTTTGAGAATGGTCATGTGAAAATTCAAACGGGTTCAAATATTTAAAACTCCTCAAACATGGACAGTTTCTATTCATCATAAACTACAGAGCTTTGCACTCATCATAAACTTCAGATCTTTGCACGCCGCATTGTGTGTTCACCCGCCGCTAGTGTGTATTATATACTGACACAACTATTAGCTACCTATTTGTCTCATCTCAATTTCATCTTCTTGTCAGAACTATCCATTGTTTGGCTCATAACCGAGTTGTAAGATTTCTAAATTCTCACAAGTTTCACTTAAAATTAAGCCATCAAGTTTTTGTAAATCTGCAATATTCAAGCAATGAAGCCATTTATTGTAATTCACTTTGACTCTTCTACTTGACATTTCAGAGAATTTCATTTTGCATCATATAAAACCATTTGGAACAATTTCATAAACATCATTCATTGAAATACCCATAAAGCACAGACTGCATTAGAATAATTTCACCTTGTTCGGTGGGTAAACTTTCTCCTTGTAC